AAGACACCATAACTCTGCAGTCATGAGTCATGAGGACAGTGTAATAAGAGTATAAAAATGGAGATTTTTAATAAAAAACAGAATCTGCCCAAGCATCGTGTCCAGTTCTTTAGCAGAAGTTCTGGGTGGAAAAGGACAATAAAAATGAGAATCAGCTGCTTCCCTATCAGGCATAGGCATGTAAAAATAATGGTCAGAGGTGTGCCCATGAGCTTCTGCAACGTCCACATCCTCAGTCACGAGCTGAACCTCCAGTGTCTGTCTTAGCTGAACCACATCCTTAGCTGAACCTCCAGTGTCTGTCTTCAAGGGTCTCCATTCAGGGATATCAGACCCGAGAGCATTTGCACGAGGGATACAAGAGCATATGACCTCCTGTAGTGCTGGAACTGAGCAGAATAGGAAAGGGGGAGAGGAAAAGGGAGAGGGAGAGGGGGAGGGGGAGAGAGGGAGAGGGGGAGATAGGGAGGGGGAGGGGAGAGGGAGACAGAGAGAGAGAGAAAGGAAGGAAGCTAAAAGCCAGTAAGCTTTCTGCAGACGATTATGTCAAATCCTGTTTGAATATTTCCCTCCTCCTATATAGCTTATCTACCTTTATTCAAAATCCCAGTGTGTCTCACTGCATGATTTTGGGAAATATGTTGACTTTTACCCACTCAGATCCATCCCACAACAAGGGCAGTAAGTGTCCAATTTGACCAGGGGAAAAGAAGCTAATTCCCAGAAGGGTTTCTGGGACAGTAAATAGGGCAGTACCAGTGACTCAGTCCTGCTCAGAGCAGATTTAAGGTGCAGGCTTAAAAGAGAACACGGTAGGGGCTGGGGTTGTCACTCAGTGGTAGAGCACTTGCCTAGCATGTGTGAGGCCCTGGGTTTGACACTCAGAACCACAAAAAATAAATAAATAAATAAATAAATAAAGGTATTGTGTTCATCTATAACTTCAAAAAAATTTTTTTAAAAAAGAGAACACGGTAGAGGTCCTCAATCTTCAATGAGCCTTGGAAGAGATAGCTGTGGTCAAGACAAGTCACGTAACTTCTGTAAACTTTAATTTCCCTGCCATCAAATGTAGGGATTGGGCAAATTGTCCAGAAGACATCTTCCAGCATGCTGTGTCTCTCTAATACTGCAGATTGGTGAGGTTCTGCAGTAGCAAAACACCCAAACTCTCCACCTTTATACAGCTTAGAGTTATTATTTCTTCATGTAAAGTCAGCTACATGTTTGGACAACTCTCCACAGCAATTGTGTTCCATGAAGTAACTAACCATTTCAGGCTGCCACAGGCTCTTCCTGTTATTTGTACCATCTGGAATATGTAGTCTCATTGGTAACAAGCAGGTGAGGACTGTGACCAAAAGAATCATATCTTCTCACTGACTCAACTCAGAAGTGACCCATATCATTTCTACTCGGTTCACATTGACCAGGAGCCATGGTGGTATAAGGAAGAGGTGGACAGCAATTAAGAAATTGAATATTTTATGAAGTCAGAGGGGAAAACAAGATGTTGGTAAACAAGATGTCTAAAAACTGTCCCCAAAGACAAAGATTTTCTATTTTTCCAGCTACTTCATATGTGGTTTTGAGAATGTTTTGAAAGCAGTAGAAAAATGGTACTTTCTCCATTTTACCAATGAAGGAGTGTTCTCAGGGAACTGACCAACACATGCAATGCCACAGGGTTTCCTAATGTCCAAGACAAGACTAGATTCCGTGTCTCATACAGTCTGCCTCCTCGTGGTCAAAGGAATATCAGAGCTTATATCAGAAAATCTGCATCTGAATCCAGATCATTCATTACTTGACTAGCAACTAACTTCTTGAGCCTCTTACCTATATTTATAGTATTATAAACTGCCTCACAGTTCTCTTGAGAATATTAAAGGGGAAATCAAAAGGAAAGTGGCTCATTACAGAGAAAAAAAAATAGGTAAGATATATATATATATGGCATCACAGTGTCCACTAACTATTGAAAGACAAAAGCCATGTATGCTTACGTCCTAGAGCCAGAGAGCGCTCAGTTAGCCAGAGACAGAGTTAATTTTAATAGGATTCATCCATATGCAGTCTATGCCATGACTGGGGGTCTGGCAGGTGCTACATTTTTTTCACCAGGCCTAGAATGGGGTAGAAGCTCAAAGTATGAGGTTACTATAAAAGTTGAATGAATTATATACATGGCTTATAATAAGTGCCAAATAAGTATTGTGCCTTGTGATTATGATTATTTTTGTTATTTCAGGGTAATAGAACAAAGTGAGAGAAGAGGGGAGGGAGGTGGAACAAAGAGAAAACAAGTGATGGGGACCCATTAAGAACAGGAAAGGAGCACACTTCTTTTTTTTTTTTTTTTTTTTTTTAATTTTTTATTGTGGGTTGTTCAAAACATTACAAATTTCTTGACATATCATATTCCACACTTTGATTCTAGTGGGTTATGAACTCCCACCTTCACCCCATACACAGATTGCAGATTCACATCAGTTACACATCCATTGATTTACAAATTGCCATACTAGTGTCTGTTGAGGAAAGGAGCACACTTCTTGATGAGAAGAATTCTTTGATCAGGTTTCTTTGCAGGAAAGTGTATTTCCAAGGATGGAAGAATAAGAGCTTAGCCCTGTTTTGGAATGGGACAGTCCTATATTGACACCTACAAGGAGAGTGCAGGAAGAAAGAACAGCAGTGTGCAGGATAAAAGGGGGACACTGGCCCTGCACCCCCTACTCTGCCAGCAGTGGGCTCACAGCTCATCACCTGAGCCAAGGACCAAACCCCAACTTCATGAAATGGCCCTAGAGATCCAGTAGCAGTGGGCCCCAGGTTCCTGCAATCAAATGGCCTTGGCTGGTTGTCTCCATGGTAACAGCTTGCATCCCAAACTGTTCCTTCCTGTGTGGGAGGAAACATTTCATAAATGGGAAAGGCAGAATTAGACAGTGCTTTCTCTCTTATGACCCTTCTCCTTTGGCAAATCGTGTCCTCTCTCTGAACAGTGCAGTCTCCTGAGGAAACTGTCACAGAAGAGGATGTCTCTGTGGCTTTGTTTGCAGATGCGTGCCCAGGAAGCATTTTTAGAAGCCTGGCGCTGCTTCTTCTTGACTTTCACAGGGCACTCGGTGTTTCTCGTCTCACTATTCTTTTTCATGAACAGCTCCCCAAAGAGGGAGGCCAGTGTGTTATCCGTGTTGAAAGAGAGAGGTCAGAGTTGGGTAGCTTCCCCAGAGCTGCAAAGCACACAGGGGAAGAGTCAGCTTAGAAAACCAGACATAACAAGGCTGAGCCCACCTTCCTGCCCTTGCACATGGCCTGCCCTCCTTCAGTTCATCTCCAGCTTCACCACCATCCGGGACACCCTGCTGACCTGTCTCCCTCCAAGCCCTAGACCCACGAGATGCCCTTGATTTTCTCCAGCACAAAGCCCGGAGTTTAGGGTAAATGTATGCCCTTCTTAAACTTTGAATTTAAATTTGACATTTTTAAACTCAGCGTTCTGCCTGTGCCACACTGTCTAGGGTTAGAACAGCATTTTACAGGATGATAAATGACCTTTCCTTGGCTGAGCCCTGGAAGTGCACGTCTGACCACAAACCATCCAATCACAGCTCTGAATGCACCACGGGGTCCACTTTCCAACCAGGACTGTGAGCCAAGAGCGTTCATTCCCTGGCACAACTTCAGCCCTTCCCGATAGTTTTGATCCCATGATTCTGTCCACGAAAGAAATCCTTGTCTCTGCAGCAACCCTGCCTGAAACTGACGTACAAAGGTGTAATTAGAACAGCATGGAGCAAGCCGGACGGGCCAGTGACCTCCCCCCTGGACTTTTAAGTGCTTTTAAAATATGTTTCTAATGTCTTAGGTGCACGGTCCGAATTCCCTTCACAGTTTTTCACATGCATGAGTAAATCCACACAGACTAAACCCCTTGGGTCTTAGGTTCTCCTTAGAAGTTCTTTTTTTTTTTTTTTAAGAAAACAAATATTCCATTAAAACGACATAGTGTACTCTGCATATTTTTAGGACAATTAGAGTTTAGAATTCCCTCTTCTTCCGCCCATGGTCAGAAAAAGTTTTTCTTAACTATTTCCTGACCACGAATGACATTAAGCTGGGATGAACTGAAGGGTTTTGTTACCTTTTAAAATAATCTCATTTACATTGACAAAGTACCAACTGGAGGATTGAGAGCTTTGATGGGATTTGGGAAGGATCTAATTTCCCTTGTACCACTTCCAGGTGAGCCCTTCAGGTACACAATTATTGAGAGCCCAACAGAACCCTTTACTTGAAATTAAAAGTCAAGTTCACAGTGGATTAAGAAACATAAAAATAAGGGGACTTTCTACCACCTGCTTGATTCGAAAATGAACCACAGGTCTTGGTAAGTTTTATTTTGCATAGACTATGTAAATAAAATCAATAAAGCAGAGGTGGCAGCAGGCTAGCCATGCTTCAGCCTGTGGGGAAGAGATACAGCAAGACCCAGGGAGAAATCTGTCTTAGCAGGGAGGAGACTGGAAGAGAGTCAACCCCAACTTGTGGACTTTGTACTCCATTGTGTTCCTAAGTTTGTATACACAGCAACACCCTGACCGTTTGCCTGTGCTTCGGAGGCCATACGTGTCGATAACACTCGCCAAGCCAGCATGCAAATCAAATGTTTTCTTGCAACCAGATTTGAAGCAACGTCTTAACAGCACTTGCCAAGTCAGTACACATTCAAGTCCAAAGGCTTCACCACCTTCAGAGAAGTTGATGGAAGACCATGCTCAGCCTGTTTTCTTTTTATTGCAAAGCAAATCAAAGCTTATCAAAAGCTGAAAAGCCATGCCTCACTCACTCCATGGCTCAGGCAGAAACAAGATATGCCTTTAGAAGAGTCTGACTTGGAAGATGAGCAAAATTTGGAGATGTCTTGGAGCACATTTCTGTGATGTCTGAGAAACTACAAATTATATTGAAGAAGCAAAGAAAAAACACATGACTTCCCAGGGGGGGAAAATGTGTTTGTTTATTTAAATTAAAAAAAACTGTGAAAATTACAAACCATTAAATACAAAAGACAATTCTATACAACTCAATAGAATAAACAGGAAGTATATACATCACTTTTTAACAGGCGCAGATAGACTTGCACCAAACTTCAGGATTAAGCAATGGAAAATGTGACAAGGCACATGTCCGTCGCAGTGAAGTTTCAGAATTCAAGTGATTCCAGGCAAGAGGCCAAACTCAACTTGGCTTCTTTCAACTTAAATGGCCCCCTTTGGAGTAAATCCACACTCTGAGTTTTAAAGTGAACAGAGAGCCTTTCTCCCACCAACAAATTTCCTCTAGTTCTGTATCAAGGCAGACTGATGAACCAGCTCCTATACTGTTAACCCTTCCATGGGAACAGCAGTTATCACTGTACCTCCAATCCAGGGAGAGTATATATATATATATGTATTTTTTTAAGTTTTTTTTTTTTACTAGAATTAAATCTGATGTTTTGGTGTTGTCTCCAGTGGCTGAGAGATTCTGCTACAAAGCTACTGACCACAAGAATACATACTGACAAGCATTCCTGAGCATTTCCTTCCAGACTTCTCTTTCCCTTAGTTGGGAGTGTTCACAACCCACCATCCAGAGAACTGTGCAGAGGAAAATGTGGTATCTGCCTTTTTAGTTTAATCCTGGGAAAATGACAGCAGGGATAGCTGGTGATCAGCCCCAAATTCCCCAGTTACACATACACAAGAGTCTCCAACTGCTCCTTTAAATCAGAAGATCCTTTTTCAGACTAACTGGCAAAAGGGGAAATATTTGGTCCAAGCTTCCTCACACCAGGCCATGGAGCATTTATCACAGAGTCCTGAAATCCTCCCAGCCCCCTGGGGCTGCACATCCTCAGGAGCCTCATGAAGGCAACAAGCCTCTTGAAGACATGCCCAGGACCACACAGCAGATGAGCGTCAGGGCTTGGGATCAGCAAACATAGACTTGGACCCCAGCTTTGTGCAATCTCTGCTTGAATATGCCCTTTTAGGTCTCAGCTACGTGACGAAATACCACATTGTGAGTCCCGTAGTATGTCCTCTCCCAGCTCAGAAAACTAGGCTGGGAAAACAAGAAAACAGCTTGGCCTTGTTCAACTCCACCAACACTCCTTCTGGAAAGATCAGGAAGAGCCCCCTGCATGGCCAGAGTGCAGGATAGATTCTGGGGGAGCTCTCTGACCAAAAGAGCATCATGCCAGCATCTAATGTTGGACAGGCACAAGTTCAAGGTCATAGATGAGACAAAAGATCAAAATAGCAGATCATCTCTTATAACCCCAGCTAATGTTAACAGATTTAAAAAGTTGCTTTTTTCCCTTACATTGTGCAAACAGGTTGAGCTCAGATCTCCAGCTTTCTCCTATCTAAAATCATTCATTAAAATTTCCCCTCTTATCCAAAGACCTCCAAAAGCAGCTTGTAACCCTCTGTGAACTAATGCCACAGGTACATAGTAGAGATACTTACAGCCAATTAGATCTAGAAGAACAAAGCTCTAGGCAAATTAGCAAATCAAGACTAGTCCCTCAGCCTGCCCTAGGCATTTAGCAGCCCCAGCAAAAGGCAGATGCTGCACAAGTGACCCTGGACATCCAGTGAGACAATGACAAGCACATCATCCGACCAAAGGCTGAACAGGAACCCTGAAATCCAGACCCCAAAGTAAATGAACACACTGCACGTCTTTGGGGCTTTTCAGGTGGCAGGTCCCAATCGCAGGCACCTCCAGCTGAGCCTTGTCTCTCGCCCTCCCCTATTTCAGGGGCTATCTGAGGGCCTTTTCAAAGTGGCAGCTGCACTGCAAAAGTGAAACCGGACACTTGATGATGTCTTTTCTTTTTCTAAGGGTGCTGCTGGCTGGCAGAGCCACCTCAGGATCCCTGGGGGTGCTAGGAATTCTGATGGATGTTCTCAGAGGACCCTTCACTGCTTTCGTTGAGAGGCGTCTCTGAAGTCTCCTCCATCTCGTCGTCTGCCCCCTCCTCCTGGATGGTGAGATGCACATCTGGGGAAGAAGACTCGGAGCTCACGCTGTCCCCTTCCATGGAGCAGAGGGTGCAGGACAGCGCAGGGGCCACACTCTCTTGCAGCATGTTCAGCATCATGGGCACCTGCACTGACCTCAGGCCTGAAACCATGGGCAGCGGCTTCATGGCCTCTCCCCAGAGCCTCTCTTCATCTTTGTACAGCAGCAGGAGGCTGGACTTCTTCTCTCGCCTCTTGGATTTCATGTAACCCAGCATGATTCCAATCAAGAAAATGCCATAGAAGGACATGACAACCAGAATGTAGAAATATTCATTGCCGTTGCCGCTGCCACTGCTGGGCACATGGGACTCCAGGGGGCTACTGGAGGCTGCGGTGCTGGGGTGTGTGCTGTTCAGAGTCTCCATCTTCAGCATTGAAGCACGGCACATGCAGCCGGGGTCTGGGGAGAAAGCCACAGATTAGAGCTCTCCTACCAGGACCCCCTAACGTGGAGGAGGGCAAGCACGAGGTTTATGGAGTCACAGTGTCAAAAAGTTTATAAATGCATGAAATAAAGAGCAGTAGGAAGTTCCACCAAAGAGTTAACAGGGTTTAGCTCTGAGGGCTTGGAGAGCAAGCGGGAAAGGAAGAACTTTCACTTTTTCGCGTCTATGCTATATATCCATCTTCTGTGCATTTCATAAAGGAGCAGGCATTACTTTCATTCTTTCAAAAATTCCCTATGCCAGCAAGAGTAGAGAAAGTAAATAATACAAGTTAAAAAGTGGGACACATACTTGAACCCTTGGAGCAGAACCAAAAATTGGCATTTGGCTTCTAAAACTTCAACTTTTTTAAAATTCAAAGCAAAGTTCCTTAGAGCAAACAAAGGAAACAGAAAGAAAAGAGCGTGGTGTATTTGTACTTAGGCACGTTCCTCTTTCAAAGAAGCAAAGCAGCACTGTGACTTACCCAAGGCTGGCAGTTCCTCTGAATTCCTAAATCGTCAGGTCCAAGAGCGCTCCGCTTTTGCGTCCTGCGCGCACTCTGACAGCTCGGCTGCTGCAGTCGGGGATATATAGTCAAGAAATGCATCGTCACGTGTTCTGGGAGGAAAATTTACAACAGAGGTTGACCGCGGCAGAGTGAGCAGTGAACTCACAGCACAGCAGTTCAACTCCCTGAACTTCGCAGCTGGTGAAAAGAAAAAGGCTACAAAGTAGAAGCTGCTCCTCCTGCCCCTGCCTGAGCCAGAGTTTTCAGGTGGCTGTGAAAAGGAGGGGAGGGAGGAGAGAAGAAGGTGCTAGGTCAGAACCAGGACTCCAAAGTCCAGCCTCGCGCAAAATTAGTCCCTGCTTCAATGCCCCCTTGGGAATACCCATTATGTCATCTGTAGGTTTCTGAGGCAGTCGAATCCCACAATCTGAATGAGAGACAGTTGGAAATAAGTACAGGATTTACAGTCAGGAAACTAGGGCTTAAGCTTCAGTTCTTCCACTTTCTCTGCAAATTAAATCCTTCCCTAAACTTCCTATACCTCAGATTCTTGATCCATAAAATTGCTGGGCATGGCAGGGAGGGCTTCAGAATGCAGAACTGTATAAACCATGTGGAATTTTAAGTTCCTTTTGGCTTAATCCCTTTAAAGCTTGAAATCTATTTGGTACAGGTTAGCCCTTTAGCAACCTGGAGAGACTCTACCTGTCTACCAAGCAATGAAATCTATTTTTTTATAGTCATTGTTTAATAAAAATCTTCCAGATTCTTTTCAGCAGTCTCTGTGTAGTGGAAAGAAGTTATGGTGAAGGGTTCTATGAGCAGGTTTGGCTCCGTGGTAGTGAATGGTGCAAAGTGGCTGTTGGGATCCACCGAGAGGCACCGAAGAGTATGAGGATTTCACTCCAGTCTTTGCTCCCCGGCATGCGCATTCTGAGAGGCTCCCATTTGAAGTCAAAGTGGAAGGAGTCCTCAGCCTCCAGTTGTCTGTGAATTGTAGTCAGATTACTTTTCCATCCAGCTCTAAAGGGAACATCACTTGTGGTCCTGCTGTTGTTAAGTAAAAGCTCAGGGAACACATGAAGACATTCTCTGACCCATCGGAACACACACGGCCGGGACTCTAGAACTTTCACTAGAAACCTGGCTATGTGCCTGGTCCTAATTCTAGGAGGACGCCTGTAGAAAGAGGGGGTTGCTGGACCGAGGCTGCTGCCTTTCCCACTGGACTCTCCTCTGCTCATCCCTTAAATCCCCCATCAGCAATGAGGTATCAACAGCCCACAATCCTAGCACTAAGATCATCCATACAATGGCCTTGGCTCACATCGATAAAGACACCCTCATATTCGTGTCGATCCTTAAAAAGCACCACAGCTGCCTCAGCCATGGTAGACTTGGCTTTGCCCACCCGAATCCACCCCAAGCACTGGACACTGTATCCATACCGGAGCCTGCAGCGTTTGCCTGCTGATCACAGAGCCCAGTGCTGTGGATCACGTACCTTGAGATATGCATGAAATTAGCAAACACCCAGGGTTTGTCAAGCACTATGAACTGGAAGCTCCCAGGAGGCGGAGAGGAGGTGGGGAGAAGGGTTATTACCAGGTTCAAAGGCAGGAAGCGCAAGGCCTGATGCCAGGAAGCCAGAGGCTGAAGTTTCCAAGGGAATAAATTCCCAGCCCTGAGCCAACAGCCTCAAGGCTCTAAAACCAAAGAAGACGTGTGTGAGGACAAATCTGAAATGGAGTCCAAATGACAGCAGGTTGGAGACACAGGAAGAACAAAACCCACTGCAGGAGTCAGGGCGGGGGTCAAGGCGGGAAACTCCACTGGGTGACCACCGTGGTGCCCGCTGCCTCCGGTGCCACCGACTCCCCGCATGGGTGCCTCTACACTTCAGGGAAACCAGCAGGTAGAGCACTCATGCAGTCTGGCAGGAGGTGTGTTTTGTTGTCATTGTGGAGACCACCTCCGGGGCCTCCAGGGGCTTCTGGTCACTTCCCAATGTGCATGTTCCTCTCTGTTTTGTTTTGTTTTGTTTTCCTCTCTCTCTTTCTGGCCACCACTCCCAGGAATGGAACTTAAGACTTGGGCCTTGAGACCTCGTGTCACCTAGCTCTGTCTTCTCTGTAACCCTCCTTCATGACAGTATGGACAGTACGGTGACAGTAAATAAAGGTGTGGGTGCTGAAGAGGGAGAAGAGAGCACAGGGTCACATGCACGCTGCACCACAGGTTAAGGGATGACAATGCTAAAAGATTAATCCATCCTGCAAATACGTTCTCCTCCTATCATCTGCATCTCTATTTCCTTAACAGGGTCTTTTGAAGAGCAAATACTTAATACTGATCAAGGCCTATTCATGAAATTTTTTTTAGGGTTGTGCTTCATGAATCCTATCTAAGAAACCTTTGTTTGACCTGAGGTCATGAAGACTTTCTTCTGTTTTCCTTCTAGAAGTTTTATAGCCGCTCATGCATTTCAAGTTGGTTTTATTGCAGTGCTATATAATAGAAAGTATCAGTCAAGGTTTTTTCTTTTATGTATATATATTTTTTTCATAAGTAGCTCCAATTGCCCCATGACTCTTTGCCAAACTTACTATCTTTTTCCTATCAAATTATCCTTAAAACATTTGTCAAAAATTAATTAACCTCCATGTACAGATCTGTTTCTAAACTCTTTATTCGCATTCCTTGCTCTAGCTAACAGCATATCACTATTACACTGTTTTGAGAAACCTATTTTAAACTGGTTATTTTTATTTATTTATTTATTTATTTATTTATGTTAAAGGATTGAACCCAGGGGCACTTTAACACTGAGCTACATCTCCAGCACTTTTTATTTTTTTAAAAATATTTTTTATATGTAAATGAACACAATACCTTTATTTTGTTTATTTAGTTTGTTTTCTTTCTTGTGTGTATATGTGTGTGTGTGTGTGTGTGTGTGTGTGTAGTGCTGGGGATCAAACCCAGTGCCTTACAACCCCAGCCCTTTATTTTTTATTTTGAGATAGGATCTCACCAAGTTGCTTAGGGCCTCACAAAGTTGCAGAGACAGCCCTCAAACTTGTGATCCTCCCGACTTAGTCTCCCTGGCTGCTGGGATTATAGATATGTTCCACGGTGCTCAGCTTAAACTGGCATTTTTAAATAAGTCCAAGATATGTTGCAGTCAGTATCTAGCTGAGTGTCATCAGACACACATCAACCCTGTGAGGTATCACTATAACCATTTCATTGATAAAGACACCGAATTCAGAGAGACTAAGCAAACTTCTCATAGTTATGCCATTAGTAGTTGGCCTGGGCAACCCCAAACCCATTCTGTTTTCACTACCTGTATCTCACTGAATGAGAGCCAAGAAAGGATCAGAGAAAGAGGAGAAAGTCAAAGACCCAGATCATTTTCAATTTGAGGGAAGGAATCTTCATAAACGTTTTTTTTCTAAAGCATGAAATCCCAGATGACCAGTTCCTCAAACATAGATGGAAGCATGTAGTTACAGATTGTATCTTCTGAACTCATGTTATCTTCATATTACACACCCAAATATTCTAGAAGCTGTAGGTGAGGGAGAATACCCTTACCCTGAATCTATGCAGCCCCTATTCCAGCAGTTTCCCTTTTGCCTATGTGCAGTTCTCTTGTTTTGATGTGTTGAGTTGTTTACCTTCTTCTTGTGACTTTGCTGTTCCCTGCTCATACCCCCAGCTTGATCCCGACATACACTTTCTCCAGAGTTTTGAGTACTTTCATTTCCTGGTAACGTCATTTTTACAAGATGACCCAGGAGTCCCTGACCACACATCTCTGAAATTATGTTAACAGCTTCTGTGACTAAACAAAGTCTGTGCTGGGGTAATAGCACAGCCACAGATCTCATCAGATTAAACAGAAGTCTGGGGCCGGAGACCTGACCCAGCTCGGCCTCACCCGAGCTACGTGACTGGCTCCGTTGCATAATTTCTCTGCTTCTGTTTTCACCACCCGCAGGCATGTCAAGCATAGGATCACTAATTGTGCCGAGATCCCCAGAAATGTCCCATCATCCAACAGCTCCCCCCACCCTGAGCAGACCAGGCTACAGGTTTGACATAGCCCTGCAAAACAAAACCCTGGGTGCGCACCACTCATCTTGCTTTTCCCAGAAACTCTGAAAAGTTGTGTCTGGGAACTCTTGAAATGGGACATCCCTTCTAAAGCCTTGAGTCACCCTCCCTGGTTGCATGCTTTTGAGCGTTCCTGGCACTCCGACTAAGACAGGGCCGGGTATCTGCAAGGTACTTAAGACTTCCAGATCCCCTGCCCCCATAGCACCAGCTACATTTCAGGAGGATGTGGCTGTGACAAGGTCCCACCTGGACATCAAAGGCAAAAAGGGTGGAAGAACCCAGAACTCTGGAAATTGAAGAGTAAACCTGGCATTAACTCACCATTATGAATTATTATTCAAACGTTCTTTTCACCTCATTTTAATCGAGCAAATATTTGCATAGTGCCTAAAGTGTCTCATAACTGCTGTAAGCACTTTCTCAATTTCATATAAACTTCATAAAACCCCTATATTACCCCTACAAATATTGGGAAACTAAAGCACAGAGAGGTTGAGGTTTCCTGTTCTGGGTCACACAGCTAGTACACGGCTGAGCTGGGAACCCAGAGCTAAGAAAAGAGAAGAAAGAAAAAAGCATTGTCTCTGCCTCTATGGAGCTTACAGATACTGGGGGACACAAACAAAGATCCAAAAATCTTATGTGTAAAATAGCAAGAGTGGCAAATATTATGAAAAAGATAATACTAGGAAAGCCCGGATTGCTGTGACTTGAACTCCTTAGAAAAATCAGGGAGGACTTCCTTGAGGAAGTGACCACCAAGTTAGGATCTGATGGTTGAATAGGAGCTGGACATAGGTATTGAGAAGGTAAGAGAATTTTGGCCAGTGGTAATCTGGAAGAGACTTTTTCAGGAAGAAAATAGGGAGCAAAGAAGGATGAGAAGAAGGAGGAACTGAAATGCCACAAGAAGAAGAGCTGCAGTGGCTGGCGTTGGCAGAGGTACATCACCTGGAGGGATGAGGACAAGAGAGCAAAGGGGCCGAAGCTAGACCCCTGCCTCGAGGAGCTCAGGATCCACCAGGGAGGTCCAGGTCTGGGGCAAATGTGTGCCAGCAGGGGACGGCTGAAGGCGTAGCCACTGAGGACTTGCAGAGTACACCCAGGGCGTGGAAGTCCGGAGCGCGCCTCGCCCAGTGGAGGAGCCAGGAAACCAGGGTGAGCAGTCCGCAGGCTCAATGTGCGTGAGTGTGAAGAAACACCCGGAATGTGGACTTTGCCTCCAAAATTCACATCCAGAGTTTCAGATAATTTAAATAAAGCACAGGGAAGAAAATGTAACAAGTACCTCAACATCATTCTCAAGGGCCATTAGCAGTGGGTTTGAAAAAAATTTCTAGTCAAAACTTGGATCTCCCAGAAACAAGAAGACCAGATAAACAAGTCGGTATATGGAGTTTTGTGGATGGGAGGTCTAGGTGAAGCACCTGGAATGGTGGGAAGTAATGGCCCAACCAACAACAGCTTCCAGCTGCCCAAAGCTCAAGCAGCAGAGGAGAGAACAGGAGGAGCTTTGACCCAGAGGAACTTGAGCCATTAGGACCATCACCTGGGACTGCACATACTAGTCACTGAACTGAGACTACTTCAGGATACCGGAGTCGCCATGGGATTTTTCTTATCTAAGAATGGCTAGAAAGTTATGGGAACTGCTCCCGATATCCATCACAGGGCAGGGAGATAATTGGCCCTAGAGAATGAGTCTGAGGAATATTAGGCTGCCAGATGATGACACCATGCAAACCCTGTTTGCCTATCTTACACATTACACCTGTAAAAGCTCAGAACAGTGTTAAGCACAGGATGAGCGTCCACATATCATAATATTGAGCAATGTTAGAAAATGCACAAAGACAATATCGGCTGCTGCATGCATTATCTACCTTAAATTTAAATTTAAGGACCACAGGCGATGGTTCACTGTTTTATTCCCAGCCTCTAGAATGATACCTGGCCCACAATAGATGTCCTTAAAACATTTGTTAACTGAATAACAGAAAGAATATGCTGAGTGCTGGTCACAGACTTTCTTATTAAAGTCTCACCAGGTCCCAGTGATAGCAATTATGAGAAAAACATTATAAAATAATGTGAACAACACAGTCTAAGGAGTAACTTGTCCCGTCACATAGCAGGAAGTAGCAATGCCGGGATGAACCAATTTGCCTCCTATGGAAACCATGCCAGACACATACTCCATTTCTGGGACACACGGTGCTCAGTGGTTGTTGGTCACTTCCTCTGGCCCCAGCTAATCAAGAGATAAGGATGGAAAGACGATGCTGATGAAGAGCTTTGGGGATTTCAGTTGTGGAGAACGGAACTGCCACTTTTATTAAGAAAATGTTTCACAACCTTTAAAAAGCTTTCCAGAACCTTCCAAGTACCCGATGATAA